GTTACTTGCTTTATACGATGTGAAAATGTCTCGATTGGATGTAGCATGACATGTAGCTCCTGTATCCATTATCCACTCAGAATTCTGACTTGTAACATGCATACAACATTCTTCCCTGCAAATGAGAATAACATCGATCTCAGACAAAATAGCTATAATGTCACCGTCAGCTTTCTTCTTCTCATCTTTCTTTTCATCTTTGTTTCCAGCTTGCTCCTTTTTCAATGCCTAATAATTCTTCTTGATATGACCTGGTTTCCCACAATAAAAACAACCTCTCCTTTTAGACTGTGATCTGCCCTTGGATGTGCCACGATCTCTGGACTGGTCCCTGTACCTGTTCCTACCTCTGTTCTCCATGACAAGTGTCTGTGAGTTATCTGTGCTGGTAGACTTCCTCCGAGTATCCTCATTGAATAAACCTCTAGTAACCATACTCATTGATAACACACCATCTGGAGTTGCATTGCTTACTGTCATAACCAGTGCCTCCCAACTGTCTGACAAAAAACCCAATAATAATAAAGTTTGTAGCTCATCATCGATAGGCATCTTCATGGTAGCTAATTGATTAATCAAACTCTTGAACTCATTCAAGTGCCCTGCTATGTTGCTTCATTCTTTAAATTTCAAGTTCACCAACCGCCTCATAATAAACGCCTTGTTTCTCGTGGTCTTCTGCTCGTAGAGATCCTCAAGCTTCTTCCAAAGAGACTTCGCATTAGTCTTACCCGATACATGATAAAACACACTAACATCGATCCATATCCGAATATAACCAATCGCCTTCCTGTGTTGTTTCTCTCATTCTTTATTAGTCATCTTTTCTGACTTGACTTCATCTCCCTCAATAGAGTCATGTAAATCTTTACAATACGGAATATCTTCCATCTTGAACTTCCATATTTGCCAATTGGAACCATCCAATTTCATCATTGTGTTAAAACTCTCAATCTATTTCATCCCAAAGTACGCCTCGAATCAGGGCTCTAATACCACTTGTTAGGGATTTTATGAAGATTAATCTGCGGAATTAAACACTAAACAAATAATGGTACCAATGAAAATACCACAAGCAAGCAAACACCAAGATTTAACGTCGTTCGGCAAATCGTACCTACGTCCACGGGGCAATCCAGAAAGAAATATTTTACTATGAATCAAGAGTACAATCCAAGTTACACCTGAACTTGAGGATTAAATCACAAGAGAAAAATACAGTGTTACCTCTAGGGCACCAAAACCCTAAAATCCGTCTTACCGAAAATCTCCAACACCCGTGGAGAAACCAACACCGTACTCTCGACGGCGTCGTCGTTCTGAAGACAACAGTTTTTGAATAACTGCAATCGGACAATCGAGCTATCCGGATTCTAAACTTTTCTCTCTCCCCTCTTTCCCCCTTTCCGGTTACTATTCACGGTTTACTGTAGCACCAAAAAATTACAGATTTCTCATGAATAGAATTTCATTTTCAGGTTTTACCAACCTATTCTTATTACAACTAGATCCTTCAAATCCTCTTCTAAATAAAATTTTATTGGGAAAAATGCTTCCAGCCCCCAAAACGAATGAAAACAAGCTTCCCACCCCCAAGACTTTTTCAACGGGTGCTTTACCCCCAAAAGTAAATTTTTTGTTCTCTGAGCCCCCAAAACACAAAGCCTACTGAATTTCACACAGGGAAAGACTATAATACCCATTCTCTCTCTCTCTAACCCTGCAATCCCTCTGCTCTCCCTCCTCCCTCCCCCACCTCTCCACCCGCCGCCGCCGCCCTCCTCCTGCCATCCTCACCTTCTCCGCCACCGTCGCTCCGGCCATCCACAACATCCTTAAGATCCACAACGCGGAGAAAACCCCGGCACAGTTCGAGGAGTACAAAGAGATCGTCCGCTCGAGGGCCGAGCGAAACTCCGGCGACGAGCGCTGCATAGCCGACGGGAACAAGCGACTGAGGTTTTACTGCTTCATGATTCTCTGCGAGCTGGATTTCATGGGAGCGTAGGAGCGTGCGGGAGGACCTATTCATGGGAGCGTGGGAGCGTGGGAGGACCTGTTCGTGGGAGCGTGGGAGCGTGCGGGAGGACTCTCCCAACCTAAGAACAATAATAAGAAGAAGAAGGACAAGATTGATAGTAATTACAACCATGCCCCCTGACCTTGGCTGCTCCTGCTTTGGATGCTACAAGTGCTTCTGAGCTCGTTGGGATGCCTCACCCAACCGCCATGTCATCCACCTCACCCTCGATGCCTTTGAAGAGACCCTTGAATCGAAGGAGGCCAACAGCAAGTAGAAGAGGGGGTTGAAGAGTAAAAAGATTGATTTTGATGAGGTTTTGGCGAAAGAGATGAGCGCCCATGAGGAGAAAGTTGATGATGATGGCCATGATGATGGGTGCGGGCATGTTACTAATTACCAACGCTAAAACTATTACCACCAAAAAAACTTTAAAATAACCCAAATAAAAATATATCGGTTGCTTGTTAAAATTACTCCCCCATTAGAATGTCCTACATTGGTTGTTAAGGTTATATATTGGTTGTTAATGTTACGCGTTTGTTGTTAATGTTATGTATTGGTTGTTAAGGTTATACAAGTTGCTTGTTAAGGTTACGGGTTGGTTGTTAAGAATACGCGTTGGTTGTTAAGGTTACAGGTTACTTGTTAAGGTTACGGATTGGTGTTAACATTATACGGGTTGATTGTTACGGTTACGAGTTTTTGCTTGTTTAATAACCAACTCGTAACCTTAACAACCAACCCGTAATCTTAACATCCAACCCGTAACCTTAACAACAAACGCGTAACTTTAACAAGCAACCCGTAACCTTAACAAACAACATGTGTAACCTTAACAACCAACCCGTAACATTAACAACAAACATGTAACCTTCATATTAACGGATCTTGAGGATCTCTCTGACCGATTATTAGGCTCTGAAAAACATGCTAATTGAAGAAAAATGTAAACTTGGACCTAACAAACAAGGTGAAATCTCAACATCACAATAACAGCAGAACAAGGACCAGTGAAGCAAACAAAATGCACCAAAACATCAAATCCAAGCTCGACGGGGGGAAAACGCGTTGATTCCGACAGAGAGATCCTGAGTGTTCTGTATATTTAGAGTAACTTTTAGACGATATAGGAAGTCTAGATGCACTATTTTTATGCATGTTGGCCCGCCCATCCATGTTAACGTCTTTAATAGGTAACCAAAATAAATTTATATATTTTTCAAGAACACTCGCTTTTTTGTAATAACTCTTAATATGGCAACATCTTTTAATTAATATGCATGGCACTATTCACAACATTTCTCAAGCTTCAAGCTACGTTCAGGAGTTTACATATTTCTTCAATTAGCGTGTTTTTCAGAGCCTAACAATCCGACAGAGAGATCCTCAAGATCCGTTAATATGAAGGTTACGTGTTTGTTGTTAATGTTACGGGTTGGTTGTTAAGGTTATACGTGTTGCTTGTTAAGGTTACGAGTTGCTTGTTAAGGTTACGCGTTTGTTGTTAATGTTACTGGTTGGTTGTTAAGGTTACGGGTTGGTTGTTAAGATTACGGGTTGGTTGTTAAGGTTATATGGTTTTCTTGTTAAGGTTACGAGTTGGTTGTTAAACAAGCAAAAACTCGTAACCTTAACAATCAACCCGTATAACGTTAACACCAATCCGTAACCTTAACAAGTAACCCGTAACCTTAACAACCAACGCGTAGTCTTAACAACCAACCCGTAACCTTAACAAGCAACATGTATAACGTTAACAACCAATACGTAACCTTAACAACAAACATGTAACATTAACAACCAACATATAACCTTAACAACCAATGTAGGACATTCTAATGAGGGAGTAATTTTAACAAGCAACCGGTATATTTTTATTTGGGTTATTTTAAAGTTTTTTGGTGGTAATAGTTTTAGCGTTGGTAATTAGTAACATGCCCGCACCCATCATCATGGCCATCATCATCAACTTTCTCCTCATGGGCGCTCATCTCTTTCGCCAAAACCTCATCAAAATCAATCTTTTTACTCTTCAACCCCCTCTTCTACTTGCTGTTGGCCTCCTTCGATTCAAGGGTCTCTTCAAAGGCATCGAGGATGAGGTGGATGACATGGCGGTTGGGTGAGGCATCCCAACGAGCCCAGAAGCTCTTGTAGCATCCAAAGCAGGAGCAACCAAGGTTAGGGGGCATGGTTGTAATTACTATCAATCTTGTCCTTCTTCTTCTTATTATTGTTCTTGGGTTGGGAGAGTCCTCCCGCACGCTCCCACGCTCCCACGAACAGGTCCTCCCACGCTCCCACACTCCCATGAACATGTCCTCCAGCACGCTCCCACGCTCCCATGAAACTCACCGCGCAGAGAATCATGAACCAGTAAAACCTCAGTCGCTCGTTCCCGTCGGCTATGCAACGCTCATCGTCGGAGTTTCGCTTGGCCCTCGAGCGGACGATCTCTCTGTACTCCTCGAACCGCGCCAGGTTTTCTCTGTGTTGTGGATCTTGAGGATTCTATGGATGGCCGCTGCGACGGTGGCAGAGAAGGCGAGGATGGCAGGAGGAGGGTGGTGGCGGCGGGTGGAGAGGTGGGGGGGGAGGAGGGAGAGCAGAGGGATTGCAGGGTTAGAGAGAGAGAGAGAATGGGTATTATAGTCTTTCCCTGTGTGAAATTCATTGGGCTTTGTGTTTTGGAGGCTCAGAGAACAAAAAATTTACTTTTGGGGGTAAAGCACCTGTTGAAAAAGTCTTGGGGGTGGGAAGCTTGTTTTCATTCGTTTTGGGGGCTGGAAGCATTTTTTCCAATTTTATTTCATGTGGAACTTATCTTGGGCTGGACCCACAACAAAACTCACCCCAAAATTCAGGGAGTTTTGTAAAATTCAACTAAAAATAAGCTTTGGTTGTATCACTGTCTGTATTCTATATATATATGACCCAATAATCAGCGAAGCAAAACACAACCTCTCTCTCTCTCATACTAGCTCTCTTTCTCTCTCTCTCTATACCGTCTTTCTCTTTCTTTCTCAAGATGGCTGTTCATTGCAACGGTGGAGAGAACTTCAAGATGCCAGATATTAAGTTCACCAAGCTCTTCATCAATGGCCAATTCATCGACTCCGTCTCGGGTACTTCTCTAATTTTTCCTTCTTATTATTATCCCTCTTATGATCCTTATTTCTTCTTATACATTTTCCCTCTCTGTTTCTCTGTTCTCATTGTTAAAAGTAGAAGATCGTTGTTTTTAATGAATTGAATGATGCACTTAGTAGTATTCTCTCTGTTTCACATCTTCTTTCTACTAATTATTTGTTTTGCTTATAATCTGATGATCATATGATTATGAGGCTAACATCTAATCTAATGTAAGAAAAAGACGTTGGAAAAGATAGAAAATAAAGATAACATGGCAATATATTTTATTTTATTTATTTAAAATCATATTATATTTTTTTCTGTATTTTTTTGGTGACTACAAATAAATGAATTGAAAATGGGTTATACATACAGGTAAAAGTACTCATTAATTTATTTGATTAAAAATCAAATCCTTAACAAAACTTTATAAATTATTTATATTTTATATTTTTATTATATAATCAATTTATAACTAATTTTATTAACAAAATATTTATTTGATATCAATTTTAATAATCTTACAGTAACTAATTTAAAATAGTAAAGTTTTAAGGGACTAATATAGAAAATTTCTATAAATAAGTTCTCATTCTATGTTCTGATCCATACACTAAAATAGAATTTTTGATGAATAATATTTTATGAAAAAAGTTAATTTAATAGAAAACAAATGACGTCATCGGCACTTTTTTAGGTGAAGTTGAAAATGCATTAATCTGACGTGATAAATTTTTTATTTTTTACTTTCACATGTACTTTCAATTAAACAATCACCGGAAGTGATAAAAACAAATCATTTTCATACTTTCGCTTCCCACTTTCAACTAATAAACACCCCTTATCGAGTGCCCCAGTTTTTGTGATTATGACATATTAGTTGCTGCATTTATTTTGTTTTGCTTTATTTGATTTGCTGCAAAAATAATTTGTAACAAATTACTGCATAGAGTATGTGTTGTAGGATTTAAATATATTGCTTGTATATCTGCAATGTTATTATGAGAAGTGTGTTTTCAATTCAAAATCTAGCGTTGGGTTGGAAAACAATTTGTGTGGGTGTCAAAATCTTTTTTATATACAAGTAAACATTTGTATAGATTATTTCCTATTATTTTGAGAAAATATGGTTTCCTACTTGGATTTGGAAAGATTTTTTATGATGTGTAATTATTTTCTATTCTTGTAATTTATTGGCAGCAACACCTGTAAATGAAATACAAATCTAACTGTCGTATTTACAGCTGCAACTTAATTTACATTCATCCAATTATACATATTAGGCCCTAAATGTGAGTTATTTTGGCAATCATTTTCACCGTTTTAAGTCATAACTTAGAATATTTCATATTGCTAGAAAATGTTTAAAAATGTGTGTATGAGGGCATCACCTTAATGCTTCCAGAAAATAAGGGGCTGTTTGGTTGCACCCTTTTTGAGAAAACTTTTTTCAAAACATCTGAAAATAGCAAATTTGTAATTAAAATTTTTTCAGAGATTTCTATAAATTGTGTTTGGTTCAACAAAAAATTTACAGAAATATTTTCTATAAAATATCAAAATCTACCAAATTTTACAAAAAGCAATTTCCTCTCAAAATGAGAGGAAATCACTAGAAATCCGACACATACATATTTAATTAAAAACCTACCAAATCTTGTTATTTTCTATAAAGTTATGAGCTATTTTCTTGTTTTGAACCAAACAAGCAAAATACAAAAAACAAGAAAATTGGTACTTTTTGATTTCTCAAAACTTTTCCTATAATTTTTTTAAGAAATGCAAGGAAATCATATTTTAGGTGAAAAACATTTCCTATAATTTCTAGAAATTGAACCAAACACCCCCTAAGAGGAAAGGTTTTGTAACATGATTAATGAGCACGTGTCACTATTCAGCTCCGAGTATCACGAGCTATCTATTTTCAGATCAAAATGATGTAGAATGTATAGAACAGTCAATGTGGAAAGGAAATATTTTGTGTAGTAATCATCGATCTGTTAGTTTTAATATTGAAGGAGACAGAAATTCTGAGGCGTGAAACACATTCTTTAAAGAAATATTTGCCCCGACTTGATATTCAAAGTTGCTTCGGGTTAATGCAAATTTTTTTCCCAGGATACAACAGAAAATAAAAATTCCAGTAAGCAAATCTGGAATTTTCCTTAATTCGTTGTGAAACAAGTTTATAATATTGCAGAAGTTTTTGATAGAAAAGATTCAGAAAAAGAATTGTCAAAAGATATATGAAAACATAAACTATTTATAGTTTTGAAAAGGTGCTTTCAACAGTCACTTGTCTTTTCATAATTTTTAAAATTTAAAATAACATTGAAATAAAATATATTCAATATATATATATAAAATTGAACATTATTCGCGTCAAAATCGCGCATTATTCGCGCTACCCGCACGCGGGTTTAGAAGCCTACAATTTGATCCATTATTCAAAGCTCAATAAACATTCAATGCTTTTAAACCTCAAAAAGAATGTTCAAAATTCTAATGTGGGACTATCTTGTTTTTTACAAACAAATACTAACACGATCTTCTTTAGTTGATACTGGAAATAAAGTATTTAGTGAACCAAGTCTATTTTAACATTGTATTTCAAGAGATGAAAACATTCAGATCAGTGCAAAACAAAGAAGTTTGAGAGCAAATACATTGATTTGTCGTAGTAACAATAAAAATAAAAATAAATAAAATAAATATATTGATTTGTCTTCAATCTTTGGATCGCCAAATGCGCGCTAATTTCACGCCTAAAAATAGCATTTACGTATAATATTATGTTATTGTACAGTGATATTGAAGGTCGTTGGTCAAAGTTATAAAAGAAAAATATGTCTTAAATGTGATGGCATCTATTAAAACTCAGTCTTTCGTTTACCATCGCACTTGCACGCCGTATTTAAAGATTAATTGGTTTTAGACGCTCATTGAAAGTGGAGTTGCGACTTACAACATTTTTATTCTGTTCCATGCTTCACGAGGCCTTTGATATATATATATATATATATATATATGGAGGTTAGGTCTTTAATACATCATTAGAAACTTAATTTTCTTCAAAAAGTAGAGAAACTTTTGTCAAAACGCGCGTGAAAAATTCTTATTCATGATTGTTAGTTGATTAAGATAATAATTTTAGTTGGACATTCATCAAGAAAAACGACATAGCATTATTTGGCTGAATATCAGAAAACCCCCTTAACTTTAGCCCATAAATTTCAAAAAAGCCAATAAAATAAATGAATAAATACATACATAAATAAAGTTACGGATTATCATAAACTGCCTTTTGAGCTTAAGATTTTATCGGAAACTCTCTCTAACAGTGTTAACTGCAATTTTTAGAGGCATAAACTTCCCCGCCTAAATTTTACTCAACCCTGGCGGAAATTAACGGTTTTATGGCTATTTAGCTTGTTGTTAGATAGGTGGTGGGTGGGGGGGGGGGGGGGGGGGGGCGTTGGTGTTTAGTTGCTATTTAAATGAGAGCGTTTAACAGGAAAATGACATCTTTGACAACCATGGAGGAGTGAAATATCATATACGTGTGATTGTCCAAAATGGACACATGGTTAGCCTACAGAGAACCCTCACAGAGAAATCCAGGCTTGCCAGAAGTGTTCAGCGTACATTTTAAAGTTTATGATTGCATTGACATTGATAAAATTTATACTAATACAATAATGGTGATTGCATTGATAAAAATTTATAAATTCTGATTGTGTGGATATTTATTGCAGTAACATTGTGACTCATACAGTGATTTTAGAATATAATTATATATATATTATATATATTATATATATATTATATATATATATATATATATATATATATATATATATATATATATATATATATATTATATATATATATATTATATTATATATATATCCGACCATGTTTATGACTCTTTTGTTTGAAAATGGCATAAGAAGTAAGTTATGAAAATCATTCAACAACGACGCCAACTTAGAGAGCTACATGGTCTTCATCATCCTGTTCCAAATTCAAGTCATTTCCATCAAATGAGAGCTTGAAGCCGAGAGAGCCTCATAAAAAAATTGATCAGAACGTTCACATTGTTCTCCGTAGTTCTTTTTTCCTTTTCCTCCTTTAGCTTTTTCAGAATGTGCTGATTATTACAGGGAAAAAAATTCTATTTAATTATTTCAAAATCGTTTCTCGTCACAGGAAAAACATTTGAGACGAGAGATCCACGCACAGGAGATGTGATAGCGAACATTGCAGAAGGCGATAAGGAAGACATAGATATTGCCGTCAAGGCTGCAAGAGAAGCCTTTGATCATGGAAAGTGGCCTCGCATGTCTGGCTACGTAAGAAATTTTTTTTTTTAAACTTACTTCTTTCGGCTAAATACCCATATTGGTATTTTAGTTCAACCTCATTTGTCAAGAAGGTATTTTAAATAAAAAAATCGGCGTTAAGACATTTTAATTGATTAAAATTACCAATTAGGTCATTTTTCTCGTCGGCGACCACTTTTTCGGCGAGAACTCGTCACGTGCGTGACACGTGATGACTTAATCTGTATAAATACCCATATTGGTATTTTAATTCAACTCAATTTGCCAAGAAGGTATTTTAAATAAAAAATCAGCGTTAAGACATTTTTAATTGATTAAAATTACCAATTAGGTCTTTTTGCTTGTCGGCAACCACTTTTCCGGCAAGAACTGGTCACGTGCATTTTAATTCAACCGGTTTTCTGACGTGGTAGTGGCAGGAAGAATAAGAGTCGATGCATTTTAAAATCCCCCATTTCTAAAATTGGTAAAAAAATTAGCGAAAAATTCGTGGAGAAATTACCGTATAAATAGAACCTCTTTCTCTTGCATCGATCCATGGCCGCGCCGGCGGCAATCTAGTCTGCAGTGATCTTCGTCTTCTCACTCTCCTCTCTCCGAATTCCCATGGCGTTTTCTTCTAGAAGTTCCTGGAATCGGGGGTTTTGGCTGCTTCTGTTAGCGGTAAAGGTAAGATAATTGAGTTGGATCTGAGATCTGGAGTGAATGCGTGGAAGTTTGATCTTTGTTTTGAAATTTTTAGGGTTCAGGTTGGTTCGTTTTGGACTAAAATTGTGATTAAGCCACATCAGCAGCTAAAACCGAGCCACATCAGCAAACCGAGCCACATCATCAGCTAAAACACAGATTAAGTCATCACATGCCACACACGTGATGAGTTCTCACCGGAAAAGTGGTCGCCGACGAGAAAAAAGACCTAATTGGTAATTTTAATCGATTAAAATGCTTTAATGCCAATTTTTTATTTAAAATACCTTCTTGACAAATAAGGTTAAATTAAAATACCAATATGGGTATTTATACAGATTAAGTCCTCACGTGCCACGCACCTGACGAGTCCTCACCGGAAAAGTGATCGCCGACGAGAAAAAAGGACCTAATTGGTAATTTTAATCAATTAAAATGCCTTAACGCCGATTTTTTTATTTAAAATACCTTCTTAGCAAATGTGGTTGAATTATAATACCAATATGGGTATTTAGCCTACTTCTTTCTTTATGACAGTTTAATATTTTGGATAAAATAGTAACCTGCCACATAAATCTATTGGACATTTATTTACATTAAAACTACATAACACCCTATCCCAGAATTGAACTTCAACAGAGTTACTAATTCGAGTTTTCCTGTAGGAGAGGGGAAGGATCATGATGAAATTTGCGGATTTGCTTGAACAAAACATAGAAGAAGTGGCCAAACTTGATAGTCTAGATGGAGGAAAATTACTTGCAGCGGGCAAGGCCATGGATATCCCAAGTGCAGTGGGGACACTTCGATATTATGCAGGTGCAGCAGATAAAATCCATGGGGAGACGCTCAAGATGTCAAGAGAGTACCAAGGGTACACGTTAAAGGAGCCTATCGGAGTTGTTGGCCACATTATACCCTGGAATTTCCCGACTGGGCTGTTGTTCTTCAAAGCCAGCCCTGCTCTTGCTGCTGGATGTACTATGGTTGTGAAACCTGCGGAGCAAACTCCGCTATCTGCGCTTTTCTGTGCTCAGTTGGCGAAGAAGGTAATCGTTGTGTCTATTGTGTGTTACCCTAATTTTTGGTATTAGGTGGAAACTAGCCAATTGTTTCCATTAATAAGAGTTTAACAAAACAGATGCAAAGTGTAACAGTAGGAAATGCCACAAACATAACTAACTGAAGGGGAACCTTCACAATAAATAGAATGTCAAAATTCATTATATTAACTTGTGGACTCGCGGGTGGGGGCCCACCCACGTGGGCATCTGCCCACGGGCAGGCAGATGAGCCTTGCGCGCGCGCACAGGACCTCGAGCGGGGTTTTTCCGCGGGAATTCTTTTCTTCGCGCGCGCTTTCCTTCGTTCCCGCCATCCCAGCCCGCCAATTCTTCTGAGTTCCCTCCCTCTTCATTTGTTATAAATAGAGGTGGTTGTGAGTTGAGTTGAGTGTGGGAAAAATCTCAAGTGGGGTTTTTTGAGAGAAAAGAAAGAGAGGAAGAGAGAACTTGTATAAGTTTGGTATTTTTCTTCCATAGTAAAACCCCTCCCGTGGATGTAAGCTAGTTTGCCGAACCACGTAAAAATCCCGTGTTTATATTTTGTCTTATCTGTGAGTTGTCATAGCTTGTAGGTTCCCTCGATATTTGAGTCCTTGAACTGATGAGAGGAAGAGTGTATATTTCACTTTGATGAAATATATCACTTTCGATTCTTGTTTCCTTTGAAAAATAAGAATTTTACTATCTATTCTAGTTTCCTTTGAGAAACAAGAATATAGAGGTTGACTTGTGCTTTTGTGATAACGAAAACCAGGGCTCTCTCTCAGGTGATATCGCTTTCGCGGCGGTGGGCGTGACTCTGCGCCCAACAATTGGTATCAGAGCCCTTATTCAGACTGGAGGTGGTAAAATTTCTGATCTGAGGTGGTGGTTGAATATTGTGTGGTAAAACACAAAGAAATTGTTAAAAATTCCTGAGAGAAGCGAATTGACCTAATACAAGCGGAAAATGGCTTCTACAAGTAAAACAAGTAAAGTTGGAAAATACGAGATTGAAAATTTTAATGGGAAAAATGATTTTTCCTATTGGAGGATGCAGATGAAAAATTCGTTGATTTCGCAAAAATTGCACAAGGCTTTGGCCGAAAAAGAGAAGAACAAAAATATGTTTGATGAGGATTGGGAGGAGCTGGATCTGAAAGCACGGGTGTCGATTATCCTTTGCCTTGAAAAGGATATAGCCTTCTTGGTAGACGGGGAGGAAACGGCTGCGAGTGTGTGGTTGAAGTTAGAAAGCACCTTCATGACGAAGAGTCTAACAAACCGGATCTATTTGAAATCCAAATTGTATACTTGCAAGATGGAGGAGGGTTCATCAATCCGGGAATACATCAACAAGTTCGATAGGATTGTATCGAATTTGAAAGACATTGAGGTGACAGTGGAAGACGAGGATCAAGCACTTCTACTACTTCTATCTCTGCCAAAGTCTTATGGGAATCTGGTTCAAACACTGATGCTTGTGGGTGACAGTTTGTCGATGGATGAGACTAGAACGGTGCTTCTAGCGGATGATCTTTGAAAAATTGTAACTAGTGATATGGCCACTGGTAGTAACAAAGAACAAGCTCAAGGACTGTTTGCCAGAGGAAGAGGCAATGAGCAAGGAAAAGACAAGGGAGGAAAGTCTAGATCTAAATCGAGACCTCTTGCGGGACGAGCGTGTTTCAAATGCGGTGAAGTTGGGCATTTCAAAGTCGACTGTCCAAATAAGAGAGTAGGTGGGAAGAAGAACAACAACAAGACTGAAAGACGAGAAGGCAAGGAAGAGACGAGCTACGCTTCAGAGGAAGGGAGCGATAAGGAATGCTATGTCGTCACGGGTGGCGAGGATACCTCTGGGAAGTGGATTCTTGATTCTGGTTGCTCTTACCATATGTGTCCAAATAGAAAGTGGTTTACTACCTACAGGAGCATTGATGGTGGAACCGTATTGATGGGGAACATCCATGCTTGTAAAACGGTGGGGCTAGGTGATATCAAAATCAAGATGCATGATGGAGTGGTTCGAACCCTCACGGACGTACGACACGTTCCCGGCTTGCGGAAGAATCTCATCTCAGTTGGAGCTTTGGACTCCGAGGGTTGCAAGATTGTAACAGAGAACGGAGAGAAGAGGGTTGTTCGGGGTTCCTTAACAGTGATGAAGGGTGTTCGTCACGGTAATCTATATACTCTCTCGGGTACAACGGTGACGGGAGATGCAGCAGTTGGAGCTGAAGGAAGTGGTGGAGACCCATGTGAGCACACACGGTTATGGCATAGGCGGCTTGGGCACATGTCAGAGAAGGGTCTGGATCTGCTTGGTAAAGAGGGTTTGCTGAAGAATCTGAAAAAGCCTTGCATGGATTTTTGCGAGGACTGTGTGTATGGAAAGGCGCACATGGTTCAATTTCTGAGGAGCAAGCACAAGACCAGAGGAATACTAGATTATGTGCACACGGATGTTTGGGGTCCGGCTTTGATAACTTCCAAGGGTGGTTCCAGATATTTTGTCTCATTCATAGATGATCATTCAAGATATGCTTGGGTTTATTTCCTGAAGCATAAGAATGAGGTATTTGAGACATTCAAGAAGTGGAAGGTGATGGTTGAGAACAGGACGGGCAAGAAATTGAAGACACTGAGATCTGATAACGGTACAGAGTATACAGACGGTGCTTTCAAGGAGTTCTGTGATCAGGAAGGGATTGCTAGACACTGGACAGTTAGATCTACACCATAGCAGAATGGGGTCGCGGAAAGACTGAACCGAACACTACGGGAGAAAGCAGTGAGTATGCGATCATATGCTGGTTTGGGCAAAGAATGGTGGGCAGAATCGATTGCTACAGCTTGCTATATAGTGAATCGATCTCCACATTCGACATTGGACGGTGATACACCCTATCGGGTGTGGTCAGGGGAGCATGTAGATTATGAGAGGCTCCGGATTTTCGGATGTACCGCCTACTATCACGTCAATGAGGGAAAGTTTGACGCGAGGGCCAAGAAGGCAATTTTCTTGGGTATGCAAAAGGCGTAAAAGGCTACCTCCTTTGGTGTACAGAAGATTCGAAGTTCGTGATCAGCAGAGACGTTATCTTTGATGAGAAGTCCATGATTGCTAGGGTGCCCAAAGATGATGGTGTTGATACTGTCAGGACTCCCGAGTCCCAGGTTATTGAGATAGAACCGAAAGACCAACCAGGTTCTAGTCGTATTCAAGTGGGAAATCAGGTAGATGATGAGCTTGAGCAGGAGGAGGTTCAGCAGGAGAATACACACAACAGCAGCTCGAGGATAGCTTGGCTTCCTCTAGGCCAAGGCGAGTATACAAGCAGGTACAAAAGCTGGGGGTTGATCAACCCCTGAAGCACTATGGGCATGTTAATTTGGTTGAGTACGCACTCTCGGTGGAGGAAGATGAGCCGGTCTCCTTCAAAGAAGCTATTCGAGACAGGAATAGTAAGAGTTGGTTGGCTACGAAGGAGGAGGAGATGGAATCTCTCCGGAAGAACCAAACATTGGAGGTGGTCCCATTGCCCGTAGGAAAGAAAGCTATAGGTTGTAAGTGGCTGTATAAAAGAAAGGAAGATCCTTCAGAGCTCGGTGGAACGAGGTACAAGGCGAGGCTAGTGGCTAAGGGGTTTGCACAAAGAGAGGGTGTGGATTATGTTTGCGGAGAAAGTTGTTGTTTTCATTGCTATCGAATCTATTACAACTTTAGTCGTTACAATAAACTCGAATAAAATAAAAAGTTGATCTTTTTATAAGATCTCCTTACACAATAAAAATAAAACTTCTGCTTGCGTGGGTGTCTTTGCCTGTGCCGGGGTTTATCCGTGGACCACCGTCGATCAGATCTGATTGCTGAAAAATTGGGCAGAGCTTCGTTGATCCGCGAGGAGATCTAAAAACTTGAAGCGCCTATCTCGATAAAAGCGAGATATTTGCTCTTCTTAGAATTACCACAACGAGATAATTCTAAGGATTGGATGCGGGTGATGTAGATCTGACGAATCTCTCTCTCTTGCGTTGAAGAACTAGATCCGATCTCTCCTCCTCCTCTCTTGAAATCTGTGCACTTTAAGTCTTCAATCCGACAGGGCTTCGTCGAGGCACCAAAATTCCAGATCTGAAAAAATGAGGCCTAAGGCTTGTATTTATAGGCATGAGGGGTTGCGGAGCGGTTAAAACCGCTTTAGGGGGTCAAATCCGTGTTGGGACACCCCTGGGGTGTCTCGGAAAATCCGAGACACCCTTGGGGTGTCTCGCATTGACCGAGACGCTCTGTTGAGGTGCATTCGTCCGCTTCCGCTGTAAATTCTTCGTCCGAACTCGGATTTTAGTGATTCGAAGTGCGTTGGAAGTCTGACGAAGAGTTCTATCAGCTCCGATGGTTGGATTATCTGTAGGATGAACGAGACACGAAGGGCGTTGTTCCTTTTGTAACATCGCGGGGCTCTCGATTAGCCCGTGCCTTCATATCGCGTAGTTCGTCGATTCACTTCAAGCGTTCACCGACGTCAATTGAACTGCTGTGAACCGGATAGTGACATTCATCGTCGTTCCTTAACACTGAGCTGTTCGTAGAGACCTATAGGCGATTTTCGATGCCTACAAATACCCCCTCCAAAGCGTTCCAGACTCGTTTCTTTTATAGAAGAGGCTGGAATACTTTGGATGTGATTGGTCCAACTTCAGTCGGCGTAAAGGACCTGTAGTTAGCTTCAACTCTTGGCTCCTTCGATTTTCGGTCTATCGAATGCTTTGACGAATAGCAGAAGTTCTTCCGGCGCTGCGTTTATCGCTTGGCCGTCGTCGGATTCTCGAGTCTACAGCTGATGAATTGAGTTTGGCTCGTGTCATTGAGTTGACTTTGAACTACCTCCGTCACATTGTGTTGACTTAGGGTTCCAGATCACTGTATGTTGACTTTTTGTCGCAACGCGTTGACCTAGGGTTACGCGTTGACCGGCGTTGACCCTAGGATTTCGAACGTTGAACGTTGACTTTATGGTCGCAACGCGTTGGCTGGCGTTGACCTAGGGTTACGCGTTGACCGGT